AGGAGCACATCTCCTCTCTGTCACACAGTATCTCTGCTGTTGAAGAAGAGCTGCAGAAACACAACGGGCCCTTCCTGAGCAGTTATAAAGCCACTCAGAGCAGAGCCAGAGTCCAGAGCGCACTGTCAGACCCACAGCTGCTCTCAGGAGCGCTGACAGATGTGGCCAAACACCTGGGCAACCTGTCCTTCAGAGTCTGGGAGAAGATGAAGGACCAGGTCCACTTCAGTCCTGTCCTTCTGGACCCAAACACTGCAAACCGCTGGCTCTCTGTCTGATGATCTGACCAGTGTGAGAAGTGAAGACAAAGATCAGCAGCTTCCTGATAATCCAGAGAGATTCACTAATGGTGCTGATGTTCTGGGCTCTGAGGGCTTCAGCTCAGGGAGACACAGCTGGGAGGTAGAGGTGGGAGATCATCCTGACTGGCTTATAGGTTTGACTAAAGAGTCAGTTGACAGGAAGGGAGAGTTGACGGCCTCACCAGAATATGGAATCTGGTGTTTAACACACCGCAGTGGAGAATACTCTAATGGTGCTGGTAAGACTGTCAGAGTGGAGAAGAATCTCCAGAGGATCAGAGTCCAGCTGGACTATGACAGGGGGGAGGTGTCCTTCTACGACCCTGAAGACATGACTCCCATCTGCACTCACACAGACACTTTCACTGGGAAACTCTTCCCATATCTCAGTATTGGAGAAGCTGGTGATGCTAAAACTGCTGATATCAAAATCTGTCAAAGTGAGATTCCTCTGTGATGCTCAGGAGTGTTAGTTCAGACTTTATTCTGACTTCGTCTGTCTAGATCCTTTTGAAATAATCAAGGTAAAAAACAACAGATGATAATCAGAATTTAATTTGTGTCTGTAAGATTTTAAATGTTAAGAATCTCAAAACTGACACATATATGTCTTGAGGGCTGGACCGTTAGCACACTAGTTTGAACACTTTTTGACAATTTACACCGGAGTTATAGCAATATCGTGCTTAACGGCGAGGGATGCGTTGCCATGGCAACAGCTTTTGAGAAAAACTCACTATTGTGATATTGAGGTGTTGAGGGCCAGACCATTAACTGTCATCTGAAGCCTGGTGCCGTTTGGACCATTTTCCTTTGAGTTACGACAACATCGTGTTTTATGGCGAGGGATACTTTCTGTTTGCCATGGAAACGGCATATGATTACACCCCATAATTGACATATAGCTGTTGAGGGCCGGACCATTAGCCATCATCTGAAATCTGGTGCCGTTTGGACGATTTTCCATTGAATTACGACGACATCTTGTTTTATGGCGAGGGATGCGTTGCCATGGAAACGGCATATGATGACATCCCATAATTAGCGTAGAGCTGTTGAGGGCCGGACCATTAGCAATCATCTGAAGTCTGGTGCCGTTTGGACGATTTTCCATTGAGTTACGACAACATCGTGTTTTATGGCGAGGGATGTGTTGCCATGGCAACAACTTTTGAGGAAAACTCACCATTGTCATATTGAGGTGTTGAGGGCCGAACCATTAGCCATCATCTCAAGTCTGGTGCCTTTTGGACGATTTTCCATCGAGTTATGACAAAACCGTGTTTCATGGCGAGGGATCTGTCGCCATGGCAACGGCATATGATGACACCCCATAATTGACATGAAGCTGTTGAGGGCTGGACCATTAGCCATCATCGGAAGTCTCATGCTGTTTTGATCATTTTCCATTGAGTTACGACACATCGTGTTTTTTAGCGAGGGATACACTACGGCAAACGGCATATGATGAATTTTGAGGAAAGAGTAAGAATTTTGAGATTTTTAGAAAAAGTAATAATTTTGAGGAAAAGTAATAATTTTGAGATTTTGAGGAAAAAGTCAGTATTCCTCCATCTTGTGACTGTGTAACTCCCTCTCTTGGATATCAGCATGTGAAGGACACTGTTCAGGAACTAGTTGATGCTCTGTATGTGATGACTACTTCCATTCTGGAGAGGATCACAAATACATGGATCCTGAGGTCGAAGCTCAAGCCGGTGACCAGTGAGATCTTTCTAACATTAATGTATTTATATAGCACAGAATGCAGGACTTTTAATTGAGTATTTCTAAACTGTGGGAGGATAGTTTTACTCGAGTCAAATATCTTTCTTCCTTCACCCCTGGCTTTCAACATGAACTTAATATAATATCATTATATCTGGATGTCTTTATTCGGTCTAACCCACCTTTAAAGTGTACAATAACAGAGAGGAGTCATACGTGAAAATAAATGGACTTTATTTGTTTTGTCTGGTTTCTTTTTTGGTATTTTCTTTGTTTTGTTTTTGTGTCACTGGACATCATTTACATTAAAAAAACTTCACATACAAAACAGAAGGAATAAATAACATATGTACAGGTCAGACGCCACGGATCTGGTTACAGAGAGGATGTTATTTCAGCGTCTCTTTGCTCTGGATCCTGAAGGGGACGTGGAGGCGGGTTTAGAAGCACTTCCTGTGGACGATGGAGGGACCGGCCTCATCGTACTCCTGCTTGCTGATCCACATCTGCTGGAAGGTGGAGAGGGAGGCGAGGATGGAGCCACCGATCCAGACGGAGTATTTACGCTCAGGAGGGGCGATGATCTGCGGAGGAGAAGGTTTAGTTTAGTTTGTTTATAGTGTCGTGGACCGGGACGATCAACTGTCACAACAAACAGTAAATGCGGCAGTTTTAGCTAACATGCTAATTTCCAGCTGTTGTCCCCGGGCAGATGATCACAATCACACAACAGAAACGAGGGGCAACACCCATGATGGATTTGAATGCCCCATAGCACATTTTTTTATATCCTTTTTATAACAGTCAGGTCGATGATTGCACTGATTCTGAGATCACTCAGCCGATGAGTTTCCAGGTTTTTAAATGCATTGTTTTGTGATTTTAAGACACTTTTTAGGACATTTGAAAGGGAACAAGACAAGATAATGGGCAGATTTATTATGATTAAATAGTTTCACTGCAAGGTCGAATTGGTAAAAGCTCTTCAATTAGATTGAATTATCCTTGGGCAAATTGCCGTCTAGTTGCAAAGAAATATAAATTATAAAAAAAACTGTTTGTAAAAAGGCACAATATCTGAAATATACAAAAACCATAGCAACATACTTTGCCTTTTTCCGAGCACTTTCAGAAGCTTGAGTCATGCCTGCTCAAAAAAAAGAACTTATTTAATTTGTATTTGTCTAAAAAAGCCCAGTTGTCAAATGTCAAATCATAGTTTAGTTGCTTTATTTAAGTTGTTATAAATTAAACTAATGTGTTAAATGGGCTTAGTGTAACATCTTATATGGATGACACACCCCTACATTTATTTGTAACAAAGTCTTATCGTGGCAGACTAAGTGACATCAGGAAGTATTGCATGGTTTTCCAAAGACTCAATATAATATGGTATTGTGATTAACGCCCATAATTTAGTGTAGAGTTGTTTACCTTGATCTTCATGGTGCTGGGAGCCAGAGCTGTGATCTCTTTCTGCATGCGGTCAGCGATACCCGGGTACATGGTGGTGCCGCCGGACAGCACGTTGTTGGCGTACAGGTCCTTACGGATGTCGATGTCACACTTCATGATGCTGTTGTAGGCGGTTTCATGGATACCTGCAGACTCCATACCTGTTCAGAAGAGACATTCAGGTTAGAGATGAGAGGACTACAGAGGGGAAAGCATCGGAGACAGGGGACTCAAACAGTCAAAAACTACAGAGAATTCTTAACTGCATTTTTCACAACTTTTATGTATTTTGTATGCATACATTTAGAACTAATCCTTCTTCCATAACAGTTCCCACTTTAGTTTGTATGGTGGCGTGTCAGGATTACTACACAGATGTGGAAATGAATGTAAAAAATAATCTCTACAAGTTATTTTGATCATAAAGTAAAATACGATACTGTTCAGTTCCAGATACCGGTGACTAAATGTTTTGTTCCTT